AAAGCTTGTTTTAAGGTGGTTAGAATGAATTCTAGGCAGCTGTCTTGATTTCTACAGGCGAATTATAAAATCCAAAAAAAGAAAATATATTGAGCAAAACAATAGGCAAAAAACGAGGTCACTTTATAAATAAGTCTAAAAAAACCCTGCATGTTCTGAATTGTCTTGCATACGGAGGTGGTGTCCTCCGGATGACGTGAAAATGAGATGATTAGTGCCGAATCAGTGGCCGAACGTAACCTTGTGTTCCAAGGAAGGATGCCTGCATGCTGCATGATCATTTGATTTTCGTAGATCCGCCACCGCGAGCGAATGAGAAGAAAGATTCATCAGCGTCACCGGACAAAGGGAGATACGGTGGGCTGGGTGCCCAGATGGCCAGATCTCAGATGTCCTGTCGCGTTGGAGGGAGATAGAGCAGAGAGCAGTCATGTTGTGTTGAAAGATAAGCCATGTTTGTTTCACTGGTAAGTCATGGTTGAAAATATCGTTGCCTGATTTGTTGTGAGAGAAAAATACTATTTATTGACTAAAAAAGTATAACTTATAAGCCAAGCGAACAAGACGAAGATGATATGACGGCGTGTTTAGTTCCACCCAAATTTTCAAAAAGTTGCTACAGTACCTGTCACATCGAATGTTTGCGGCCCGTGCATTGAGCATTAAATGTAGACGAAAATATAAACTAATTGCACAGTTTGGTGGAAAATTACGAGACGAACGTTTTAAGTCTAATTAGTCCATGTTTGAATACTATTTGCCAAATAAAAATGAACGTAGTACAGAACCCAAAATCTAAATTCCTACAACTAAACAAGGGCTGAGATGGGATGAGACCTCAAGAGGCGTCGAGCTGCAGAAGTGCCCGCCGAGGGACCTGCAGAGGAGAGGAGAGCACCGGTGGTAGTAGCAGTAGTAGAGCTAGTGTAGCTAGCTGTAAGCTGGTGCCTGCAGCATGTGATGTGCCTGGCGTCGCACGTCCCGGGGGCGTCGGGCTCGGGCGCTCCTCCGAAAGAACGGACGCGGACGCCGATGCTCCGGCCGGCAGCTACTACTATGATGAAGCATGCATGATCTTGTCGCTGCGACCAAGCTGCCGTGGTGCTTGCGTGTTTCCACTCCGGTCTCTACTCCTACTCAGCAAGCAGCAACAGGCTACGGGCAGGACAAGAGCAAGATCATGCCCAGGAGTAATCATTAGATTTCCTTTGGGAACCGCCGAAACCGTAGAGAGGTGCCAGTGTGCAGTGCCACTAGAGCACTGGCAGTAGCTGTCCGCTTGGGTTCGGTTATCATCCGTTTTTTCCAGCTGAGATAGTGTTTTTTTTCACGACAAATTAGTTAAAATAGTATTTTGATTTGTTTTTTTCAGCGAAATTAATGGGGCCTAAGTCTGATAAAATCTATAGATAAAAATATTAACTTAAAAGGCTTAATTTTGTCCTCCGATTCACTCACGGACTCATGGTCATGCCTCTAGCTATTGGCCTGCTTCATAGAAATTGGAAAGCCTGTGCGTAGGGGGAGCAGGAAACAAATCTTCGCTTTGCTGGAAAGACAAGCTGAAAATTAGCTGATTTGTTAACACAAGCGAATAGGGTGGGCTTAGAGACACACGGTCCCTTACATGGAAGCGCCCAGTGGAGCTGTGAATCTGCGATGGTTCTCTGGCCGTTACACGATGCACAAAAGAGCTTGATTTTTGTATCGAAAAAAAACTCTAAAACACGGTGGTAACCAACCGAGGTCCTCAGATTCAATAAGGGATCCAAATCTACCTTTTTTAGCCTGATAGAATTTATAAATAAAAATATTAACTTCTGCCCACGTTAAGAGAGGTAAATTATAAAAAAAATGGAATAGTCATTTTGTCCTTTAGCTATAGTTTGAGGCTTAATTTTAATTTAAACTTTTACGGTGGACATTTTTGTTCTATAATTTTTATTTTCGGCTCGGTTTTGTTCTTGAACTATTAAAGTGATTGTTTTAGTTCTAAAACTTTGTTCTTTGGTCTCAATTTTTTAGCCCAAAGGTAGAGTTTTGAAGACTGCATGGCTAAACAGGAGAGGATTTATTCTAATGGATCCGTTCCTTTTTCATCTCTAGTGACATTGGTTTTCTCCGTGCTTGTTGGAAGCCGAGAGAAAGAGAGCGCTGAACCCATGAACCATGAAGCATCACCAATGGCCTCGTTAACAGTGTATCCTAGCTCCGGGGCAGGAGTAGGAGTGTTTGGGACTAGACGAAACTCCATCGTGAGTAGAGCTCCAGAGTTTGTGGAGTACGGGACAACTCCACCCTTTTTCCCGAGCAGAGTGCGTGGAGGCTAAAAAACGTGGATGATGAGGAAAACACGAAGAGATCGTTGGAAAGAAGAGATTTGAATTTGAACCATTGAAGAGGCGCAGTAAATGTTTGGTCTGAACGTTATGGCTTCATCAAACTGCGAAAGCAACGAGGACATGGGGGGAAATAGGCAACGAAACGCCTCCAAGATTCCGGACGATTCGGAAGTTGAGACGTTGTTGAGTGTAGGCCATGTTTAGTTCAAAAAGTTTTCCTAAAAATGTTTACATCAAATCTTACGACAAAAAAATTCTAAAAAAAACTAATTACACAAGTGGGAAATATCGAGATAACGTTTTAAGTTTAATTAATCCATGATTGATTTAACAAATAAAAACGAAAAGAAAAATTTTGCGGAAACAATTCTTAACAGGAGAAAAATTCGGAGGTTTTTAACAGGAGAAGTCAGCAAGTCCTCTGGTACGGAGGATCCATTTGGTTTCCTTGAGAGTGTCAGAGGCACAGCTGGTACTCCCGTACTGGCTTGGCGCGGCCATGGCCTTGCCTTCCACGGCCTGGCTTGGCAGCTTCTGCCTGCGTGCCATACACCGTCTCCGTACTTGTTGGTGGAAGCCGAAGCCGAGGAGGCCAGGGCGGTACTAGCTAGTAGACTGGTGCACGGTGAACCAATCGCCGGTGATCCGGGCGGCCGGCGGCGTAGCCTACTAGTAGAGCCCTGCTCCAACTTCCCAGGCTCATAGCCGTAGCCTAGCTGCGCGCGCATGCAGGGGATTTAAATGCGCGGGATTTGACCGCACGCGGCCGCAGGCTAGGCTGCCACACCATGGTTGCTTTTTATCCTTCACCTGACTGGGCTCAAGCAGCCAAGCTATGCACAGCACAGCAGTCCACTCACTTGCCTTTTGCCTCTGCAGCTCAGGCTATCAGCCAGCCTGCTGCACGCGCCCTGCAGCAGTGCAGCATGCATGGGCCTTCTCCTACAAGGCTCAAAGGCAGCCCGGACTTTCCGTCGTGATTTGTGAATGGATCGGACGGATTGGAATCATCAGGAAAGAAAAACAATGCCACGTTAGCTTCTCTATGAGAAGACAAGCTAAAAAAAAAAAATAGTTCGTTGATTTATGGTGAAAGAAAAATACTGTTATTTCGCTGAAATATTACGGCTCATAAGATATGCAACTTAAGTACAGCATAGGACTATGAAGGTGTTTAAATCCAGGAAGTAAAGTTTAGGGATACCATATTAGGGTGTCAAATGAGAGTGTTCGGATAGTAATAATAAAATAAATTACATAAGTCATCGGTATTCCGTGAGACGAATTTATTAAACCTAATTAATCCGTCATTGGCACATGTTTACTGTAACACCGTTATCAAATCATGGACTAATTAGACTTAAAAAATTATCTCACAAGTTAGTCTCGATACGTGAAATTAGTTATTTTTTAGTCTATATTTAATACTTAATACTCCACGCATCCGATGCTACTCGACACTGGTCCAACTTTGAAATTAGGAATACGGAGTAGGTCCAAAATATTTGTGGAGTGACGCGTTTGGCTTCGCCCTATAGGCTGTACTAGCTACGAGTGTTCAAACGCTGTTCAGGTGGTCACAATGCAGGTTGCAGGAGCAGCAAATGCACCAGCAACGCTGCGATCTTCAGTGATTCCTCCGTCGTCTCCCTGCTCGAGGCCGAGGCCAAACAGCGTCAGCCAAAGTTCCAACGCGCAACGAAACATTCCATCTCTGATCCTCTACGGAAGATTCAAACCACCCGGCCTCTCTCTAGTCTAATCTCATCACAAAAGATACGCACTGCTCTGCGTGCCGTCAGACTTCACTCGAGCCTGAAAAGCCTGGCACACGGCACAGGCGCGCAGCCATCAGCTACTCCCCTCGAGTCTCTCTTCAACTCCTCTTTACTGCAATATACGTACTAGTCTACTGCTGTAGTACGGAGTACATGGTTAGCACTGCTACTGCTCGGATCTACTGGAACTGGAGCACTGTAAACCATGAGCTCATCACGCCTCTTCTGAACTCAGATACATAAAGCTGATGCTACCTTACATATTCAGAATAACGCAATGCGTTCCAAGTACCTACAGATACAAAAGATACACGCCGCTCGGCGTCAAATTTCACTCTAACACGACTGCCGGTGGTAACTAGCCAGGCAGAGTGTACATAAATAATCCAGATACTCCTTTGCGCCCATCACAATACCTCAGAAATTCAGGGACACGGTGACATACTGCGCCAAAATTTATGAAACTATTTCATGGACAGATCCGTGCTGTTGGCAGGGAGTGCTCGACTCGTTTTGACAGAATATGATTGCAATGAAGCTACATTATACAGACAGATAAAATGATATTTCACTCCAGGGGAACTAGGAATGAGGCAATTCGAAACACCAATGTTCTGCAGCCTGGAACCTTTTACCTATTTTGGCTGCCGGATGAAGTTGCCTGTTCCTGTCCAGTATACTTCTCCATGATTGATGCTGGGTTATGGAGGTGGAGTGCTACCACCAGTGGTCAGTATTCGACTTCAACAGGTCCTCTATCGATGGTTCGCCTTTGCATGGTCAACAATTGCCAGATATGTGTTCTGCGACATTAGGTGCCATACTCTTCGACATGATCCATGATTTCCTCGAAAACTACGGTGGGTCTCTGTTGCTGTTGTCAGTTAAGATGCAGAAATTTGAACCATTGCCAGTTTGCATACAGTTTAGCTTCGTCATCAAATGGTAGCATTTCTCCTGGAAGGCCATCATCTAATGTAGGGTTCTGAGAGACAACTGGAAGCTGCTCCCTGTACCTCTTTGCCATTTCCTCAGCTTCTGAGAACACTTTCTGCATCAGTACAAGACAAGTGATACTAAGAATAGATATATATAGGAGGGAGATTCATCAAACAAGAGGTGGAGTATTCCAATATATAGCTAGGCTGGAGTGCAACTCAGTATCTCACCTCTCTGTCGGAAAGAAACAAACCAGGTGCACTCTCGAGTTCTGCTATGCTGTTGATCAAGTAAACTTTCAGAATCAGAAAAAATGGCGTACCCAGTGCAGAGAGCTCCCGCTCTGTGCGGGGTCTGGGGAAAGGTGTCAGTGGCAAGCCTTACCCTCGCCTGTGCAATGCAAGGAGACCGCGACTCGAACCCGGGATCTTCCCCCACAGGCGGTAAGACTCTACCGCTTGCACCAGGCCCGCCCTTCAAACTTTCAGAATCATAACTCTACCATATATGTTGATTAGACCTTACCACAAAGAAAGTATTCAGTAAAATCGAGACAATCACAGCAGCTAGTTCACAACTCAATAGAGCCAGTGCTAGTGTGAGGTCAGATTTACCTCAGTGCAATTTTGTCAGGGACATTTGACTTGATCACGACAACTTTCACCTCATCATCTATCTTCAGGATGTCACTTACTGACAAAACATTGCCTCGACTAATATTCGATATGTGAAGTAAGCCACTGCAAATTAGTAGTTGAGTACACTATTAGTTGCATTTATAGGGATGTGCGTCTTGATTTCTCTAGGTCACTGGGTTGACCCAAAACTCATGCAAATGAACTAATCTAGATTTCTTGGCTTAATAAGAAAAAAACAGACAGTTTTTTTAGCTTATGCAGTTATGCTTGATTGTAAATACACGAACGGCATGCAGCCTTGTAAATACACCTTCTGTTTGTCCCAGCAATCCTAACTTGTGCACCATATGGAAAAATCTTGCGAACAGTCCCTTGTAGGAGGGTTCCTTCTTTAAGATAAGTCATTTCCTGATGATTAGTAATTCAGTACATCAGTACATTCAGCATTACAAATTTACAATATCTTATGCAGTGTTAGTTATTTGGAGACAAATTCAATGTCCAGAAGCTGATTTATCATTGACAATTTGGCCAAGTATGATGGAATTCAGTACATAAGTGCAACTCTGCAAACAAATAACCGACACAATTTGGATGTACAGAATTTAATGTGTCTCAACATACCTGATTGTCGTAAACAGTAAAATACAATTAGTATTTTGAGCACTTGATCATCCCCTCCGTCCAGAAATGATAATTGTATTTGACCAAAGGAAAGTCATGGAAGGGCGGGCCTGGTGCAAGCGGTAGAGTCTTACTGCCTGTGACCGGAAGGTCCCGGGTTCGAGTCGCGGTCTCCTCGCATTGCACAGGTGAGGGTAATGCTTGCCACTGACACCCTTCCCCAGACCCCGCACAGAGCGGGGGCTCTCTGCACTGGGTACGCCTTTTTACCAAAGGAAAGTCATGCAAAGTTGTTTTTTGACCCTTAATTTCTCTTATAAAATGCATTCAATTGCTAAAAATCAATGTAATCTCAGAGGCACTTTAAACACAAATCTATTGATGCAAGTTTTATGCTCTACACTTGCATATAATTGACTAACTATTGGTCAAAATTTATAAAGTTTGACTTCTCCTCTGGTCAAACATAATTATCATTTCTGGATGGAGTACAATTCAATTTATAAAACATGTATGTAATATGTAAAACAAAACCATAGTTGTAGCTTATAGAGAGATGTCTGTGCACCGACCCATGCTTTCTTCTCACTAATTATCAGGTCGTTAGTTTCTTCATCGAGCCTTGCAATGCACACACGAATGCTGCAACCGACCTGTATGCCAAGAAGCAACAAGCCAACGAGTGATATCAGCCAACATAACCACAAGATTTAACTTAAACATCTGATAGCACAGTCCCTTATTTAATTAAAAAAACAGAAAGCACAATCTGTTTCAAGTATCATAACCACGTAATAACGACAATCAAATGATGAAATGGGCATTAACAGCACTACATCCAAAAGCTCCTTACTTTGTTTTTCAAGTCTGTAAATGAACTTATCCTGTCGACGAGCTCAAATTTAGGAAGGAATGCTCTCAGACCCTGAAATGAAGTTGGCCTAAATCTTAGCCTTGAACAGAAGTACAAAATAACACAACTGGTGACCATTTGATTAGTAGAAGGGAAGGGAAGACTCTTCCTTGCCTCAATTCTTGTGAGTAGCCCCCCAGTGTTCCACTCGTAAATTTTCACCTCAATTGGCTCGTCGAGTTGCAGAATCTGTCTGACAAAAACGAACACGCACCAATCACTGCATCAGCACCTATACTATATGAATAACCAATGTCTGAAGGGAGAACAAATGCACTCGACCTGCCTGGCGCGGTGCCACGCGAGGCGCCGGAAGAGCCGCCGCGCCGACAGCAGTGGCCGCCCGCTAAGCGTCCGTCCAAGCACCTCAGCGAATACTACCGTCCCAGGCGCCACCAGCGTCCTGCTCCCGCGCTTCTGTCCGGGCCTCCTTGTCGTCGTCCACGGTGGGACCCGCCACGACGCCGATGCTCCCCGGCCCAGGCAGAGCTTGTCGCGTCGGCGGGTCAGCACTGTCGCGGTCGAGCGGGAGAAGCTCCTTGGCGAGCAGCGTGGCGAGACGGTCGGCGCCGACCGCGACGTCGAGGCGCGCCTCGGTGCCGGAGACCACGACCCCGACGGCGAAGTCGCCCGGCTTGGGGTCGTAGCGCCCGTCGGTTCCGCTAGCAGATTCAGAATCCTGGACGTGGCCGGCGTTGAGTAGGCGGACGAAACCGGCGGAGAGCGCGTCGTCGAGGCGCTTGGAGCTGGCGCACATGACCGGCTGGGCTCGGCCTCGCCCTCGGGCCTGGGGCTGCGCCAGCCGAGGGGATGGGACCAGGGCTTTGGCGACGTGGAGGATGGGTTGCGGCTTCGAGAAGGGAGGGAGCGGCGGCGCCGGCGTCGGCATTTCGTCAGTCGCAGGCGTTCCGGCCGTCGCCAACTCGGCCAGTTTACTTTATCCGTAACGATATTTCTTTTCTCGAAATCGGAAATGAGTGGGCTGGGCCGAATGCAGTTAGGCCCGTGCGGTGCTACTCTTTCACGGAGCCCATGATTGAGATATCAGCCCAGGTAGAAAGAGAGGGGACAGAATCGTGGGCTGGGACCTGTCGTCTTCGTCTCCGGCGGAACAAAGCGGCGGCGAGGCGGGACATAGAGAGGAGGAGAGCCGAGAGCGGGATGGGGTACCTGTGGCGGGTGCGTCTGTCGTCGTTCGCTGCCGGCGTAGCGACGGCATCGGCGGCGGGGTTCTTCCTCCTCTACAAGGACCACCTGCTTGCCCGCGCCGCCATCACCCGCCAGGTGAGTCCCCGGCCTCCGTCTAGCCATTTTTTCTTCTTCTGGCGGATAATCTGATTAATCACCCCGGTTCATTTGCGAATATGTTTGTTGTCTAGCAAAATTAGTCCCCTCTGGTTGTCTTCCTAGGCATTCTCACCTTTCCGTGATCTGGTCGCCGCGGCGTCCTGGGCGACTAATTATTAGCCCCTGCCAAATTTCTTCCCTTGTCCGATTATTGATCGAAATGCGCATTTTTGGTTCCCAGAATTGAAATGGACTAATTGCAAAACACGGCCTCGTCAAGGGAAATGTGGAGTTGATTCCATTTCATGTGATTACTCTACAAGCTCGAGCTGTTCGGACTTATCTATGCTTGCAACAAATTGATTTTAGGTTGCTGAAGAAGATTGCTGTGTAATGAGAATGCTATAGAACAGACATGCCATGCTCGGCTGTGTAGTCAGAGTTTCATCCAGAATTTGCCAGGCAAATTGACACCAATATACATCACATGAATAATGCCCTTTTTATTGTGACAATGTTGGTGTTCTGTGCATTATACATGTGTAGGGTGCCAACACTTGCCATTTTGTTGGTCTTATCAAGGCATTCTGTATTATGACTTATGGATCTCCACAAACTGCTTATCTTTTAATTCTAACTATAACTATGCGTTGCTGTTGAGTCACATGTTTTTTTAGCGGTGTTGAGTCACATGTTTGTTGTCAAACTATGAATGAACCCTTAGTTAGAGGCACTGTTGGTGAAACAGAGTTTGCACTCATCGTATGAGAGATATTATGATAGTCTCAGCGCACCTTTGCATCTGCCAATTGCATTAGCTAACAAAGTCAATCAAGCTTCTTCTATGGGAGTATTACCTATGCCCTGGTGTATTTCGTACATTGGCTTACCAAATTAACTTGTGGTGCTCTATTAATTATCAAGAATAGTTAACTAGAGGATTCTTGTAACTGAGTTCCTGTGGTTCTATAAATGGTAGTTGAACTTAAATTTACTTTTATCTATACTTTTGGTGTAGTCATCTGTGCATAAACAAGTAAACTATTCTTGATTATGTGCATTTAAATTCTGTTGTGGAGTAATTATGATTGTAGTGATGTTTCCTTTTTGTTCGAAATGTTACAATTTACAACCTCATGATGAATTTTCCATTTATGTCTTTGTTTTCCCTTATGAGGCTGGTAGTTGAACACAACATTTTGAAAGAGGACTACATTTAAAATTGGTTTGTGTTTGACTAGTGGTTAAGATTTGATGTGCTTGTTTCCAGGTGGAGGACATTAAGGAAACTTCTGAAAAGCACCATGCAGCCCTAAATAAGAGGATATCAGCACTGGAAAGCAGAAAAGAATCTGGAACTATCAAAGAGGCATCAGATTAATTCTATGAGTTGGGCTTTTGTCATGGTTACATCTGCCCAGGTGTTTTTGATTTCTGCATGTGGTATAAACTGCAGTATTTTAAGCTGTACTGTTGTGTTGTTGAAATTCTATGAACTCTGAATTTGAATTCTGTCACACTTCTGCATGTCTATGTCATCTTCTTGAGATGGACAAACGCCAAATAAATACAGTTTTCTTGATAGAATAAGTTATCAGATGCGTGCAAACTATCTTTTTTTTTTCTTCTATGTGACCATTTGCTAAGCAACAGTTTTGACACTTGTTAGTCTGTGGCTCTGTGCACTGCATTGCTTTTGAGCACTTGAGCAATATACTTGTGAATTTTATACAAGCACTGGTGACTGCAAAGCATGTAATGAGATGGTTCCTTGAACTTCACGCTGGTATTCAATTTGACTGGTGAGAGTGAGACTATCTTCCTAAGTTCACTTTTCTGCTCTATGTCGGCCAAGTCCTGGTTATAGGTCGTAGAGTAAATCATGCCTTGCTCTTTCTTGTAACCATTCCTCAAACGTGTGCTGATATCCAAATTTTGGTTGCAGCTGCAAATTCAGGGGCATATCACAATTGACACATTCAGAAGGGCGGGTCTGGTGCAAGCGGTAGAGTCTTATCGCCTGTGACCGGAAGGTCCCGGGTTCGAGTCGCAGTCTCCTCGCATTGCACAGGCGAGGGTAAGGCTTGCCACTGACACCCTTCCCCAGACCCCGCACAAAGCGGGAGCTCTCTGCACTGGGTACGCCCTTTTTTTATCACAATTGACACATTCACTCTGTGGTGGCATCCTAGGGAATAGGGATCATTATCTTACCAACTGCAATGCATGGAAGATGATAAGGAAACGATCGGACATCTCCACAAGGATGGTGAGCAAATGACCAGCCTTGCTTGCTGCTGCAATGGTGAGGAACTTGGTTTCCGAAGGCACAGTGAGAACATGTTTGTGGAACCGGGTCATTGGCTGATCATTTTGGTGGATGCTAATGGACAAGCGGCCTTCCTGGCTTTCTTGGTGAACAATGGTGGCCACTGCACATTCAGGAGCATTGTAAGCTCATGCCATGCACTGTGCAGTGTCCTGGTGCGGCTGAGTGTTCTCTTACCAATTGCCACACATACGAGTGAAGAGATGATGGATGGATGATTTGTCGTCTTCATTGGATTGTGAGGAAATTTGGTTCCTGAAGGCTTCACGAAAACATGTCTGCAACATCAGAGGCGTCTGGCAGATGTTTTGAAGCATGGTATTCATGGCGATCTCTTGGTGACCGACAATGTTCTGGAGGGGCTTTGTGCTCACAAGCACGGCCTCCCTGAAAACAACTTCTGTCAGTCGGTGAAATGCTATTCGATGCACTTACCTAACTAGCTCTGCATTCTGGCATTCATAGCTGTTGTTTGAATAGAAACTTGTTATCATAACTTATCTGATTCTGATAGTGTTTGATTGTGTTATACTTAAGAAGCAAGAAACCGTGAGTGCGACAACCAGAATGAGGTCAGCAATGTCGTCATTTCAACACACAACATTATCTATCTATTATTCCTAGACAGCTGTGCAGTCAAATGTGACACCGTGCTCTGCGGTTGCCATCTTGTTCACGTCACTACCTTCACCAGGCTACTTTTTTCGGATCTAAAATCTGACCCAACAGCCAGAAGAACTCAGGTTGGACAGTGTGGTCCGTTCCACTGGGGACCTAGACCAGATGGCCGGGCTATTCACCGAGCAGGCTGCTATGTACGCCGCAGCGCGCCCGGCGTACCCGAAGGATCTGTTTGCCAAGCTCTCGGCGCTCACTGCTCACCACCGCCGAGCTTGGGACGTTGGTACTGGCAATGGCCAGGCAGCCATCGGTGTAAGCATGCATCTCAAGTCCCTGCTGCTCTCTATAGAGCAGCGTCTTCAATTCAATCTCTTCATGTTTAATTCACACACACACAAAAATCTCTTCATGTTTACAGTGACGCCACCGTGCAGGTCGCGGAGCACTACAACAGCGTGGTGGCCACGGACACGTCCGCGGAGCAGCTGTGGCACGCCACGCCACACCCGAAGGTCCGGTACATGCACACCCCCGACGCCACACCGGGGGAGGAGGACCTTGTCGCCATGCTGGGCGGCGAGGCCAGCGTGGACCTCATCACGGTGGCACAGGCCGTGCACTGGTTCGACCTCCCGGCGTTCTATGCCGTGGCGCGCCGCGTCCTGCGCAGGCCCGGCGGGGTGATCGCGGTCTGGGGCTACAACTACGGCATGAGCCCCGTGGAGGACATGATGGCGCGCTTCTTCCACACCACGCTGCCCTACTGGGACCCCCGAGCTCGGTACAACACTGCTAATCCTGACCAACTATGTAAATAATGCACCAAAAAGGAAACAACGAGCATCTTTGTCAGATGTGTGATCCTTCATCCATGCCTGGTATCATGCAGGTATTGCACTGACGGATACCGGGACCTGCCGTTCCCGTTCGAGGACATCGGGCTTGGGAAGGAAGGCGAGCCGGCGAGCCTCGACATGGAGCAGGAGATGTCGTTCGAGGGCCTGATCGCCATGCTGAGGTCGTGGTCGGCGGTGACAACGGCCAAGCAGCAGGGCGTGGACCTGCTGGGGGAGCGCGTTGTGAAGGAGCTGGAGGAAGGGTGGGGAGGGGCGTCGCTGGTGCGGAAGGTCACCTACAAGGGCTTCCTGCTGGCAGGCACCACAGGGCCCATGGCTGATGAGTTATGTCGCTCTTAGCTTCCTGCGATTGGACTGGGAGTAATAATCATTTGTATTTCGTGAATAACATGGCATTAATTTTGTTGCCATCTTCTATGATCCATTATTCCTACTTTTTTAATCACGACGATTTGAATGGTCTGACAAGTAATACAGATGAAAACATCGCGTGTTTTGCCACATTCAATGAAGAAGGAAAAAAAAGGCATTCCAACATATTCTTGAATTTCACAGCAGAAAGAGGAAATGGATTCACTAGAATTCCAAATACTGAGATTTCTTAGGAAAAAAACTCTGTAGACTTTTAAGAAAAACTGCTAGAACCGCCTAGCTTTGAACCCAGGAGAAAGCTAAATTAAAAGCTTTGATCATGGCACGTCAAATTTCAAGTGTGATGACAAAACAGGGCCTAGATCACACCTAGGTATTTACTTCCTCCCCGCACGCAAATTTTGGATCATCACGTTTTATTTCGTTTTCCTCGTCCTCTTCATCGCCACACACGCATCACCATTTGTCCGGTTGTTCCAACTCCCAACCTCGTCCTTTTCCCTCAGCCACCAGCTGCGTTCCTTGCTGCTTTTTGTTCCTTTGCCCACTGAATTTTGAAGTCCTCAACCCTAAACCGGTAAACCCCAAATTCTGAGTTGTAGGAGAAGCTGGGGCTCACTAGAGACGGAGGAGGTGGTAGATTTCATTTGAATTTGAGAGGTAACTTAAGTGTGACTGTGTGAGGGGAGGGAGGAAAAAAAATCAAATCCAAGGTGGAGTCAGAAACATAAAAGAAACCGGAGCTTCATGCAACATGACCGAAAAACGATGTTTACATTAAAAAAAGAACACCAATGATTTGCTTTTCATTCACGGCACTGCTAGCGCCCGGACGCCGCAGTTGTAGTTCATATCCGCACCCCCGTTTCACACGTCCACACGGGGGCCGCGCTACCCAGACATCGCCTGCCCATGCTCGGGTTTCATGCGCCCACGCAGGGGCCCGTGCCGCCCGGACGTCGCCCGCGCGGGGACCGGTCGCGCTCCTTACCACGCGCATCTCATGTGCAATACCCGATCTACTTTTGAAACATCCAGATGCAACACTTGTAACATATAAAAGATGACAGATGAAACACATAAAACATGCGTTTGAAAAACTTGCAAAAACACTTAAAAACACTTGAAAATCATTGCAAACATACATAACATCTAAATAAAACACTTGCAACATATGTGTGAAAGATATGCAACATCTAGATAAACACACTTGCAACATACGTCTGAAAAAACAGATGAAACATTGTGAACACACGCTTGTAACATACATGCACAACCATTGTAACATATGCAACATCCCGATCTACTTTTGCAACATCCATATGTAACACTTGCAACATACATCTGAAACATTTAAAACACTTGAAACATACTCTTGCAACATGCGCTTTCAGCGCAGCATCTCCTTGATGTTGTGGAGAATAGAGGCTCACCGGCGTGTAGAGTTCACCGGTGTAGAGCTCGTTCATAACGCAGAGCTCACCGCTCTGTGGAGAAGGCCACGACGGGTCACTCCGGTGGGGGGGGGAAAGGGCCGTGGGGAAGGCCTACTGGTCGCCGCTGCTAGCACGAGCTGCCGCTGGAAAGGGACAAAAGCGACCGAACGGGTGTGATGCAGAACGGAAACCGCACGACGGACGGTGAGCGCAGTGGAGAGGGAGGAAGGCGAGCGGCAGCTCTCGGGTGCGGTGGAGAGGAAGGATGGTGGTCGGCCTGGCGTGGTGTAGTGCGCCGCGGTGGAGCACGCCCGCGATTCAAGAGTGGGGTTCGAGAATGGGTGCGGGCATGGTGGCGATTCGAGACGTGAGATGGGTGGAACAAGTGGGCTGAGTGGTGGTGTTAGGCCGTTCGGGCGGGTAGAGGCCGACCAACGCTAGCGTTCGGGTGAACCGACGTGCCCATAGCATTTCGGTTTCATTATATCTTTTGAGGGAAAAGGACCTGGCAGTGCATAGCGAGGCAACATAGATTTGTGATGATTCGATGAAGGATTCTGGTGGTTGTGAACTTGTGACGTGGGTTAGTTGCGGATTGAAGATACGCCCATGGAACAATGGCATCGAACGTACACGAATTAGTTGCGGACTCTTTTTGAGAGGAATGGTCTTTTGAAACGTGTTTTTGTACTACTCTGTACATAATATTGGGCACTTTTCTGTGATATACGAGTTAAGTGCAATTCTAAAATAGTACCAAATTTAAGTATTTTAAGTTTGACTATAAAAATATATTAATATTTATAATATCACATAAGTATTTAATAGATTTGTTATATGATATATTTTCTTCTTCCGCTGAGGTAGATGCAGGTAGACTGTTGCAGCAAGCCGTTCCCATGAAGGTACCACCTCTGTCCATAAAAATGCAATTATAGTGGTATTCTTGGTTGATATGTCTAAAGTTTAACCAAATATATAGATAAATAATAATAAATAAATAAATAATATAAAAGACTATAAAGTCATCATCTATCCGGTGATATCAAATTTTGACCCTTGCTCACGTGTCCGTTTCCGATACGAATCATATCTCACTCGGAGCTCACACATCTGCGTCCTATCCGGTTACAATACGAAGACCGGATCCACGTGTCCGCGTCCGAAACGAAACCCTGGAAGCTCATACGTATATGGCTGGATATCGAGCCAGCTCGGTTTGTTATGGCTCGGCTCGTTAGCGAGCTCGAGCTAGCTCGTTTGGCTCACGAGCCAAAACACAAAAACACAGTACATGGAGATTATAACCGCAAGTTAGCAACAAACACATCACATGCATATTTAAAATGGAATAAACAAAACACATATAAATTTTGAACTTGTCTGGTGTGAACATGATGCCGCGGGGTAGGCCGGTGGGGTAACTGGATGGGGCCATGGTGTCTATTGGTCTAGGGTTTTAGTGTTTTAATCGTGTTGGGCCATAGGCAGTGGAATATATGGAATGCTTAAAGTTGTATTGGGCTGGACCGAGGGATATATGGGTTGATTGCAACTGTTGTTATGTGAATTACCTTGGCTTGTTTTGGCTCGTGAGCGGCTCGTGAGCTGTCTCGTTAATTAACCGAGTTGGCACGAGTTGGCTCGTTAAATAAAAATTCAAACGAGCTGAGCTCAAGCCGAGCCACTAATGAGCGAGTCGAGCGAGCTAACGAGTTACGAGTTTTTCGTCTAGACCTACATACGTTACATCCGATTATTGAGGTTCAATTGAAAACATTATGATCCTGGTGTAACACATGGACATACGTCCATCATAGGTAAAAATATTAGTGATTATGACACGAAAGAAGTATCTATAGTATAAAAGTACATCCCATGCCAAATATAATAATACTTATTTTATATTATAATATATTATTTTTATTTCCAGTTAGTTAAACTTAAGAATTTTTACTTCGACTGAATTATTATTTTTAGACGGAGGAGGGATGCTAAAAATTAGCAAACTTGGCAGAAGCCAATCCCATCTTGAGAGTTGTCCACAAACAACACCCATCTCACCCATCCCACTGTGTGTTTCCCTCTGACTGTGAGTATTGAGTACTCCCGCGTCCCAAACTAAGAGGGTGTTTGATTCTTCATTCTAAATTTTAATCGTTGTTCTATCGAATGTTCGGATATATGCATTAAATATTAAATATAGACTAATTATGAAACAAAATGCATAGATTGAAACTGTTTTGCGAGACGAATTTTTAAGCCTAATTCGTACATGATTTGACAATGTGATGCTACAGTAAACATATGCTAATAACGGATTAATTATGCTTAATAAATTCATCTTGCGGATTACTGATGGATTCTGTAATTTGTTTTTTATTAGTATTCGAGCACCTCTTGTGACACCCTCATGTGACACCTTCTAAACTTTAGTCACTAGATCCAAACACCCCCTAAGTCTCCACCTCGCATTTCGAGAAGTCCAACAATCTAAATTTTGACTAAATATATATATTAAAAATAATAGTTGTGATATCATATAAATATCATTAGATTGATCACATAACATATTTTCATAATAAACATTTTTAGAGATACAAATGCTGATATTATTTTCTATAAATCTAGTAAAAGTTGACTCCTCGATATGAGATGGAAACTTATTTTGCGACAGAGAAGTAGTATTTAGCAGACCCTGGTCTAGACTCCAGAGAAAGTGAGACATGCTGTATCAAGGTCTCGTTTGGATCCTACGGATTTCGAGAATCCAAACAGAGAAAATCCCATGATCCTAAATTTTCATTCAAAGCTCTAGATTTTATAGAAAAGACTTTTAACTCACAGAATTTTGTTTTTTCGAAATTCACTGTGGGCCCTAGAAACCAAGGGGAGTGTCTAAGGCATACGGCGGTAGGACCACACTGTCAGCGGGCAACCCCACTTCGTCCCCGATTTTATTTTATGTATTTATATTTATTTATTTATTTATTTATTTATCACTACATCTGACGACGACGAGAAAGAAGAGAGGGCTGGCTTCCTTCCAACGCCACCAACGCCAACGCGAAGCCGAAGCCACCGTCCACCCCTGGCTGGGCCTCTGGCAATTAATCCCCTCGCCTTCGTAACCTCCAGTTCTCCACCACCTCTTTCTTACGACAAAACAAGCCTAATGGCTTCCTCTCCATCTCGTGCGACTGCGCTGCCCTAGAACCCTCGCGGCCGCCCTTCTTACGATTCCCCTATCCCCGATCGCCCCCTGACACGTCCGCCGCCCCCGGATCCTGCACCGGAATTCCGCGCGGAATTCCGGGCCGGATCGAAATCGAACCGAACCGCCTCACTGCGTGCGCCCCCGGTCAGCGAACTCCCACGCGCGCACGCACGCACGCACGCCTGACGCGGTTGGATCCTCCGATTTGCCGCGGATGGGGGCGCCGAAGCAGCGCTGGACGCCGGAGGAAGAGGCCGCGCTCAAGGCCGGCGTCGCCAAGCACGGGCCCGGCAAGTGGCGCACCATCCTCCGGGACTCAGACTTCAGCGAGCTCCTGCGCCTCCGCTCCAATGTTGACCTCAAGGTGACGCTCGGATCGCCGGGGAGGGTGGGCGGTGGGTCTTTGGCGATCAGCTGGGGGGAAGAAATCTCCAGTCCTTTTAGTAGGTTAAATTGAATGAAAGAAATTTGCGGTTTTGGACGGTCCTAACAGCTTGGCGTGTTCCTTATTTGGTTCTAGATCGGGATTTTAGGTGGTTGGTAGTGGGGATTGCATAGAGTTTGAGGGCGCGGCTCGAGAGTAATCTGGGATGTCAGGAACTTCTAGCCATAGCATCATGATGCCCCCAAAAGCTCTCACACCCACCTTTGTTTCATTCCATGTAGAGTTTTTTTCCTTCACTTTGTTAGGTTTTGATGGTTCCTTGGGAGGCCTTGTTAGGTCTTGATGATTCCTTGGGAGATCACTTCCATGTGGAGATCTTGTTCACCATAACTACGATTTGTTTTGTTGGACACCATCTGTATTTAGTCTCCAAGTTCATTTTGAATGTCTGTATCGACGAGTACAAATGAATCTTTGGTATGGTCTATTTGTGCAGGACAAGTGGCGCAACTTGAGCGTCACCGCAGGAGGTTACGGTTCTAGAGAGAAGGCAAGGATGGCCTTGAAGAAAGGCAGGCGCATGGTGCCTAAGCTTACTGCTGAGCCAATGGATACAGATGGGAAGGATATGGACAACGCTCATGACGCAGTCATTGAAGCGGAACCGTTAGCAATGGCTTTGGAGCCTTTGGCAATTGAGGAAAGTCCAGATAAGTCAGTTGCTAGGTCAGTACGCTCGGTGCAAATATTTTATCTAAGCTGCCTATTGTCCTTACGAGTAACCTACCTTTTCAGTCCGCCATCTTCCTTTTTGGTGAATGTGTTTTATGTGGATACGTGGGACTAGATAGAAATCATCGATATAAATTGATTTGGAGTTCTGATTCTAGTCCTGCCTGGTTAGACATTAAAGTTCAGAAGTTGACCGTAACGGAAATTCTTTTTAAACCATATTAAGGTATCTTAACTGTCTCGACAACAACTAGTGCAGGAATTTGTTTTCAGTTGTATTTTGAGTTGGGGTTCGTGATTTTGTTTACATGAACAGTTCCAACTTACAAGCACGTTAAAGGACAAACCTAAAATAAACATATAAGCAGTGATCTGGTAGCAATTCAAATGCTTGCCTATTTTCTATCATATTATAAGCACGCATACATTTCCTTTGATGCTCAGTTTGACCTCTCTCACCATGTGTTTAGTTATTAAAGTTCCATGTCCATTTTTTAGGAAATGAAATATAAATTGTTACTCCCTCCCTTTTATTTTAGAAGGCATGTTTTTTCAATGATATTCAAATATAAAAGGCGCACACTTCCCAATGCTTCCTATACAACAAAATGCTAGTTAACTTAATGCACATAGCAATGATTTTTTTTCTCCAACTCAATTTATTTGTACCAAAGCAACAGAGAAGTAATAGCTACGGCGAGCATGTATACATGCAACCAGTGCGAATGACTCTTTGTCGTGTGCATGTATGCACACCGTAGTAATGTGGAGTTACTTGGGTCACTTCAGTCAGATTAGCAAGCTTGTTTGTCTTTGTTCCCAAATAAATGTGCTCGCTAAAACTGAATGGAGGGACCTTGCTGCTGAATTGATGGTAACCATGCATGAGAAGATATAAAATTATATGGTGATCATAATAGAAACAGAAGACTATGCACATGCACATGTTAAACCCTTATGGCCAATATGTCAATGGTGGGCTATGTGCACACAGTCATTAAATCATTCTCGCAAAGAAAACAGATTAATAATGTTGACCTGACTGTACTTACAAGTTGGACATGCCCTCTATGTTTGAACTAGTCACAGAAAATCTGATTGGGGCAGAGGGGCGAGGGTTCAGGGTTGTCGGTATCTAGAAACATGGGTCGAAGGTGGTAGTTCGGAACAATGGAATCCAATCAATCTGGGTCGATAATTGGATTTGGGGTCGATGAGCCATGATATCCCATGCACAAATAGTTACAGAAAATCAATACAAAGAATACAAATCCAACACACTACCCACTTAATGTAACCGTGTGACAGTCATGCTCAATCATGCAGCCTCCCTTTCTTGTTCCTCGCCTTCTCTCTGCTCAGGCAACCTAATGCCACTAGTCACGAATCAACCACGGCTAGCCAACATCTCGCACCAGGTGGTAGTGAAATTGATTGCCTACAATGTCCTCTTCTCTTTTGTGCTCCCAGTTTCATTGGCAAAGGCTTAGTCTTGCATCAGATGTTGCTGCTCCCCAAGTCGCGCGGTCATGTCCATGATTGTTGGTAGTCATGTTCAACACTAGCTGTCTCCCATGTCTCAGCAACATAAACCCTCCTCTCCTCTCCCCTGTACCTCATTACAGCCCTTTGGATCTGTGGTGTACAGTGTACTCCTGCCACAGTGGATTGGTGACCCAGACAGAATCGGGATGGTTGACCTTGCTTGACCCGACCCTTGATTTGGGATGATGTCCTGGGGTTGCAGAATGCTCCCGACCCTTACCCCTGTGATTATGGTTTAGACATTATGGTAACAAAGATTAAGTGACGAACATATCTATCTATCTTCCTTGCTATTTGTAGTCTGCAACACATGTCAGTTGATTACGTTCAGTCAAGCCAACTTTGGGACATTATTGGATGTATCCACATTTGTTATTCATCTTCTGATACTGCATAACAGTTTTAGCATTTTCGCCTCCTCTATGGTCTGTGCTATATTGAGATGTTCTAGTAGTGTCATAATTTGTTCCTATGGTGTGCAATACATCTGGATTCTGGAGCAAAATTTTCAAGTAAACTAAAAAGGAAACTGTTTGTGAATATATACAGTTGACACACACACATCCTCTGAGTTCCATGCATGCTGTGCTCTTCCTAATGTTCAATTCCTTACAGAGGTTGTCTTGCTATGAATGTTGATACTTTTGTGTAACATGTTTATTAGTACATAATTACATATCATTATTATTTTGTTTATTTACTTGTGATAGCATATCTGTTCAGCAGTTGTAGTCCACATTACTCTTTTCATTTTACTTCAATTGTTACCGTCCAACTCTTTAATTTATTCAGCATACTGCTTTCTTGATGCTTGGTCATCCAGTGTATTTTATGTATGTCTGTCATTTTTCCAGGCTCGATGATCTCATATTAGAAGCTATAAGGAAGCTTAACGAGCCTTCTGGGTCCAATAAGGCAGCCATTGCTGCATATATTGAGGTTTGTGGATATCAATTTATAGTGTGCTCACTTGTTTTATTTTGTGTTTTGTTTAACTTACTTACATCAGCTGTCCTGCTATTTATTTTCTGGTGACTGCTTTCTGTAATGGGAATTGTCTCATCCTTTTGTATGAAGCATCTGTGCTGATTTTTTGCTAACTTGAGCAATCCTTTATTACCTTTTCTTTTACGGACGGATTTAACTTAAATTGACTATATGTTTAGGACCAATACTGGCCACCTGCTGATTTTCAACGCCTGCTATCTACAAAATTGAAGTCATTGGTTAATTCCGGAAAATTAATCAAGGTCTCTCCCTCCCTCCTTCCCTGGGTCGTCTTTTTAGAAATATAAAAGTGGGGCCAGACTTCAAGGTGCATACTATTTGAATCATGATTGTAGGTAAACCAAAAGTTCAGAATTGCACCAAGTTCACCTCCCTCGGGTGGAATAAGCACTAAGGTATCCTCTGCTAAAGGGATGGACACAGAAAATAATAATGCTAAACGGCTAACTAAGCCTCAAGTGGTTGCTGAACTGGAGAAGATGAAAGGCATGACCAAGGAGGAGGCAGCTGCCTTTGCTGCCAAGGCAGTTGCCGAGGCAGAAGTAGCAATAGCAGAAGCTGAGGAAGCAGCAAGAGTTGCAGAGGCTGCAGAAAATGATGCTGAAGCTGCAAAGGCTTTTCTCGATGCTGTCACTCTATCAATGAGAAGCAGGATTGCTGCTTCCATGGTATAGTGAACCCATCCTTTGTTAGTATATAGCTGGTACATAAACTCTACAACTGATAACACTTTGATGGATGCAGATGCTTCGAGCTTGCTGATCCTTTAACCATGCCGTCACATGGTTTTGGCCAGCAGCTCACTGGTGTTCTGCTGCAAAGATTTTCTGGATAGATGAGTTTCTTGTATAGTCTTATAGATCATGACGCATCAACGGGAGGGGTTTTCAACATCTTGCTGCTTGTTCTGTGCTGTGCAGCCAATCGACATTCGACAATATGATAACAAGAATGAACGGGAAAGTAGTCTTCATTTGTTTTTGTTTTTTGTTTTCCCCCCATTGTGTTGCTTTGTAATTAAACTCTAGCCTTTTCCCTTAATTAGTTGAAGTCAAGTGATATCGTCTAATAGAACAACTGTAGTGAAAACAAAATGTCAGAAAGCTGCCTTAGTTAATGCAAATTGCTGTGATAGTATGTTTCTTGATATGATTATCTGATGACAGCGTTTAAGGTTATATGTGTGCTGCTTTGTTTTTTTGTGATTACCTCTGCTTTTAAGAAAGCATGTAAGATTTACAACCTCGGCTCGGGATACCAGCCAATGTTATCCTAAACGATTAAACCGTTAAACGGATTAGACGGTACTTTTGGGGGTCTGATTGGTTTGCGGTCAAAATTTGCCATACCAAGGATTTGGTAAGCCAAAGTTAGGTTAAAAGTTTGCTATGGATTTGGCAAGTCAAATATGAGAGGTTGGCAAGTTTTGGTTACAAATCAAACAATAGCTAAAATCATGGCTTGCCAAATCTTCGGCTTGGTATATTTTGGGAGCCAACCAATCAGGCTCTATTCATGCTGAACTAGACGGTGATTAAACGGCTGATTAAAAGGACATAGCAAGACATTGTGTAACGTTTACAGGACTAAATGGCCGTGTAAGCGAACAGTGCCAGCAAAACGGTTCAGCACAAATGATGTCTCGTTTCTGATAGTTATATATTCTTCTGTACGTCAGCTCAGCACAAATCATGTCTCGTTTCTGATAGCTATATATTCCTCTGTAATCAACTCGTTACACCTAGTACGTTTGGTTCTGGTTCATTAAACTTGTGACTGGATGTAAGCTTGATCAACTGGATGTAAATTTGATTCGTTTATTAAGACGTGTGTGGCCAAACTTTTAACAATTCGATTGTTAATGTATGTTAATAAGATAAAATGGAAACATTAAAAATCATATGTTTATATTTGTTTCAAAGGAAATTTCACAATATCACAATCTTATTGGGTTTTAGAAGTCTAATGCAAAAGAAATCATGGAGGCACACATTGCGAAGTGCATATTTTGACGGTGATATAATTCTTATCTGAAATGCATCTATAAAAACATTTAATAATAAAAGCTTTAGACACCTCCTATGCTATGACGCCATCTATTTACAACGTAATTTACTTATTCTATTCAGCTTGAATGCTTGACACCCAAATATTGCTGCAGTTCATTCCTTCAACTTTAAGAGGCCATTCTGTGTAAATCTATATTGTCTAAAATTGTACAAAATTGTGTTCACTCAACATGTCACTTTCCAGAATCACTGTTTCTGAACTTCTTCTAGCATACACAAAATTGATTAAAATTAGCCCTTGCACTGCCCGTGTTCTCGTCCAGATCACATTTTCCAATGATGCTTCGACAGTTAATCTTCTTCTGCGTCCAGCCGTTCACTCAGCATGGCAGATTGCCAGAATTGTTGTTTCCGACTTCTGGCTTATATCTCTTGATGCCGTGGACTCGATTCATGATTCCAGGTCATTCATCACGACTCGCACAAGACTTTGCAAATAGCAAGCCTTGCTGCTGATTCTTGGCAGGCCACAGGTGAAGCTACAGATGCAGCTTCGGCCCTTGATGTTCAGAAACTCAGGTGACCCAGCTGCACCCAGGCGTGTGATCAGCACTCTTCTCGCTTCCAGCCTGAGTTTCATCAGCCGTGCTGCCTCTGCAGCCCTGCACCAGTCTCTCATAGTTCCCGGCGCCACCATCGGGCTGCAGCGCTCTCAGCTCCTGCACCGCGATGCTTCCCATGGCGCTGTTCTTATGGGCCAAGCAAGAGTGCAGAAGAGTACGCCACGCTAACGCGTTCGACGCGAACGGCATCTTCCGGAGCAGGTCGTACGCCTCTTCAAGCCTCCCAGCACGGCCGAGGAGATCGATGACACTGATGTAGTGGTCAAGTGTTGGTTCCACGCCATGCTTCTTGGCCATTGCATCGAAGTAGCTCAACCCCTCCACAACCAGCCCGGCGTGGCTGCAGGATGTAAGGATGGAGATGAAGGTGTTGCCATTGTACATGCCGAGTTCCAGGGCGCGCTCTCCAGCTGCCAGAGCTTGCCTCCCAAGGCCGTTCTGACCAAGCCCCTGTATCAACGAGTTCCATGACACGACGTCCCTGACAGCCATTTCTTCGAACACCTGCTCGAGATCAAGCGTCGCACCACAGCTGCTGTACATGCTCATCAGAGAATTGCTGACGAAGACGTTACTCTGACCAAACCCGTCCTTTACGGTGCGTGCATGCACTTGCCTCCCAAACGCAAGCAGTGCCAGCACTGAGCAGGTGTGCAGAACTGTTGTGTATATTGAGGGGTTTAAAACCTTGGCATTGCCACCACAATGGCCATCCGATCTGACCAGATCGATGAAGAGGCGGAGAGCATCTTCTCCGAGGCTATTCTCCCCCAGGCAGGATATTATGATGTTCCACGTGGAGGCATCCTTTTTCCTCATAATTCTGAAGAGATCAAGAGCCCTGTCGACGAGCTTATGCCGGGAATATCCGTCCATCATGATGTTACAAGAGCAGATGTCCCTGTACCGCATCCCGTAGAACACCTTCTCGGCGTCCGACAGTGCGCCCAGCTTGGCATGCCCATCAATCAAAGCATTCCACACGAAACAATGCCTGCTCCCTTCGTCCACGAGCTTGAAGATGAGCCCATGGAGCTGCAACAGCATGGCTAGTGACTGGACACCCACGCAGGCCTTGAGCAGGGAGCTGAACGTGTGCGCATTGGGCAGCACCCCCCGCGCAAAGAACTTGGCATAGAGCGCCACGAAGAGCTCCACCGCCTTACCAGGCTCGCCGTTCCGGACGTGGCACGACACCATGGCCGTCCAGGTGAAGACGTTGTGCTGATCCAGTGGGAGCTCCTCGAAGAGATGCTGCGCCTCGGCGGCCGCGGCTCCGCCGGCGCGGGAGAGGCCCCCGATCATGGTGGTGTAAGAGGTGGCGTTCCTCCTGGGCATCTCCCGGAAGAAGGAGAGCGCCCAGTCGGTGCGGCCGGCGTCGACGAGCGCGGCCAGCGCGGCGTTCCAGGACACCTGGCTCTTCACGGGCATTGCCTCGAACAGCTCGAGGGCCCTCTCGGCCTGCCCAGCTCTGCCGGCCTCCGTGACCTCGATTGTCCTACGGGCCAGGCGAGACAAGCGCGGCAGGTCCTGGACTGCCTTGCCGAGCGCCCGCGGCGCCATTTTCCGTGACTTCCGACTTCCGAGGCTGGTTGGAACGCTGCCGCCTCTCCTCTAGTCTCCTGCCTGCAGAACCACGCTGCCGTCCTGAACCCACGTCTCGCACACAGAGCCTGAGGCACCGGTACACCGGCCCGGGAGCCCACACATGTCGCGTTTCGGTACGGCGGGGGAGTCAGGCAAGCGGCGCTGGCCGCTGGGAGGCGGAGCTGATGGTGATGGCGGATTGGCGGTGGATGAATACAATACAATGCCCACCGGCACGGCGGCACCCAGGCATCAACCACTGGATTTGGGGAGGCAAGAGAATGGCCAGGCTCTGTCACTCTGTCAGTACTGGGGAGTTCCAGTGCAGCGATGAGTCTGCAGTTCTGAATAATGAGTTGAGCAACTTTGTTTGGCGAAGCGTCTCGTGCTGCACTTCGAATTCGATTGTAGCCAGGCAGTGCCGCAAACCATCCGGTCCGAACGGCCGGACCGGAGGCGCCCACCGAACAGAGCGCGAGAACGGTGGGCGGGAAGCCACACGCAGGAACAGTACAGGTACGTTAGGTTTCTTCTTTTTCTTATTTATTTTTTCTTTCCTTTTCTTTTTTCTTTTGTTTTCTTTTTATTGGTTTATTTCCTTACTTCTGTTTATTCTTTCTTTTCTTTTCTTTTTAGTTTTCTATGTTTTTCATTCTTATTTTATTTCTTTTTTTTTCTTTTCTTTTTTATCTTTACCTTATATTTCTCTTTTTTATTTCGATTTCTTTTTATTGTTTTTCCTTGCTTCTATTTAGTCTCTCTTCTTCTTCTTTTATTTTAAGTTTTCTATATTTTCATTCTTATTTTGTTTTTTCTTTTTCTCTTGTTTTTTTCTTTTTCCTTATTCTTCACTCTTTTCTTTTCTTTTTCTTTTTCATTTCTTTTTTTTTATTTCTATTTTTTCTTTTCGTCCTTCATTTTCTATTTTTATTTTTTTTTGTTTTATGTGATTTTTTATTATTCTTTTATTTTTTGATATTTTATGTTTTTTCCTTTTCCCTTTTCATTATTATTTTTTGATGTTGTAATTATGATGTTCTATTTTTATCTTTTCTTTTCTTTTTTCTTTTGATTTCTTTTATTTGTTTCTTTTCTAATTGTTTTCTTTTGATTCATGTTTTTTATATTTTAATCTTTCTTTAATTTTTTCTTTTTTCTTTTGTTTTCTTTTTTCTTTTCGTGCATCATTCATTTTTTTTTTTTATGTTTTTATGTGTTTATTATTATTTTCATTATTTTTTTATCTTATTTATTTATTTTTTCTTTTCTTATTTTTTTATGATGTTCTATGTTGTTTTTGATGTTCATGTGTATACATGCGATGTTCCATGTTTTTTTATATTCACGTGTTATACATGTGATGTTCTGTGATGTTTTCTTTATGTTCACGTGGTATGCATGCAATGTTCTATGTTGTATTTTACGATGTTAGCGTAATATACATGTGATGTTGTTGTAGTATACATGTGATGTTTTATGATATATTTTTTTATGTTCACACAATATACATGTGATGTTCTACGATGTTTTTATGATGTTCACGTGGTATATATAATTTCTTGTTCTATGATATTTTTTGTGATGTTCATAAAGCATATATGTGATGTTTTATGATATTTTCTGTGATGTACACGTGTTATAAATGCGATATTCTATGATGTTTTTCTATATGTTAACGTGGTATAGATGTAATGTTATATGATGTATCTTGTGATGTTCGTGTAGTATACATATGATGTTCACGTAGTATATAGTGATGTTTTATGATTTGTCTGTGATGTTCATATAGTATACATGTGTTGTTCTATTATGTTTTTGTAATGTTCACTTAATGTTCACTTAGTGTAAATGTGATGTTCACTTAGTCTACATGTGATGTTCTATAGTATATTTTTAGGATATTTGAAAAGTATCCATATGATATTCTTTTAATTTTTTCTTTATTACATGTTTTTTCCTTATGCTTTGCTCTAGTTTCATTATTTTTTATTTATGTTATGTATGTATTTATTTATTTATTTTTATGTATATTATAATACCAATTTCATGAACCTGAACAGAGAACATTCTTCTTATAAAGACGGAACATTGTTCTTTGAACCTAGAATATCATCTCTGCTCAATAATAGAAAATGTTCTATCTTTATAAGTCAAATATTCGTTAAATTTTTTTATTTAAATATATCCATGTGGGATCTTGTTTTGAAAGATTTATTGCAGGGAATCCGATGGTGTAATCGGAATTTAATTTGAAGATTTGGTTTAAGCGTTATGACTTTTTTTAATTCGTTAAAAGCCAATTGCATGGGATGTGGGTGAGTGGGCCCTACGCGATGGGACAACCTGCACGAGGCATCCCACGCTCCTTGCGGCCCGAGTGAGAAGCTACGGTCACGTCAGGCAGGAAAAGTGGGCTGGAATCATCATCGGCAGGTGGTTATTGTTTGATGGTCGGACGCTAGCACCCCTAGGCAATGCTTCAGTGAGGGCCTCTGTCCGGACGGACAGTTTCTCCATTAATTAAAAAAAAACTAGACGCTCGATTCGTCGGTCACGTCCTTATCCACCGCGCCCGACTTCACCGCGCTCGTCTTTTGCGCTTGTCTTCCTTGCTTCCGCCCGCGCTTCGTGGCCATCGTCCTCCATCCTCGGCAGCTTTGGCGCCTGGTCCGCCACCGGCCTGCCTGGTGCGACCTCCCATCAACTGGATCGGGAGGTCCGCCGTCACCGCCGGCCCCCCTCTGTTTGGCTGGCGCAACCTCCCATCTCCCCCGTAGCCATCGCCGTCCTCCTGCCTGCTCGCTCGTCTTCCTTGCCTCTGCCGATGCTTCATGGCCGTCATCCTCCATCCTCGGCAGCTCCAGCGCCCGGTCCACCGGCGGCTCGGCCAACGCGACCTCCCATCAGCCGTCGTCCACCATCCTCGGACTCCGACTGGTCGAAACCGGCCGTTCCCCCGCTCCGCGCTGCGTCGTATGGAAGAATGGTAAAAAACACATGTTGCAAGCCTATGTTTCAAGTGTTTCAGATGTTTCATATGTATATTGCAAGTGTTTCATGTGGATGTTGAAAAAGTAGATCGGGATGTTGCATATGTTGCAATATTTGTACACGTGTGTCGCAAGCTTCTGTTCACAATGTTTCATCTGTTTTCAAGACGTATATTGCAGGTGTGTTTATTCGAATGTTGCATATGTTTCACACATATGTTGCAAGTGTTTTTATCTGGATTTTACGTATATTTTTGCAATGGTTTCAAGTGTTTCCGTATATTTTTGTAATGTTTTCAAGTGTTTTTCAGGTGTTTTTGCAAGTGTTTAAGATGCATGTTTCAAGTGTTTCATCTGCCTTCAGACGTATGTTGCATCTGAAAATTTCAAAAGTAGATCAGGTGTTGCATCTCCCTCCTTGCCTTCTGCCTGCCTTGCCTTGGTGTCTCCTTATCCTCCCGACGCTGGCTAGGCATCCGCCGCCTCCTCCCCCATCTTCTCGATGCTGGTGACTATCGGATGACGCGGGCCCTATGTGGGTGCGCGAAACAACGCGGGAAAAGGACTGCTGGTGCGGTGTTCGGACACCCTCTCCGTCTAGATTTCCGGACGCTAGCAAGCTCGAATTGATATGGAACGAGTCCCTGTCCTTGAATACACACACCGCACTACACACACCGCACTTGACCTCTTCTCTAGGTGATCAGCACAAAACATGTACAGTCCCATAAACACAAAACGAACCAGTATGAACTATTTGTGCACCACTAAAAAACGTTTTGAACCTAGAAATGCAAATCCAAGTTGGTGGACCACATCGACACAGCCAGACAAGTTGACGGACGAACCATGCATTTTACTCTTTATAAATGTTCTGTTGCCCCGCATTGAGAAGTTTTATCCGAGTTTCAGCAGGTTCAGTCAACTTCCTCTATAAGAATATATCACAACACAATCTGCATTTACATTCATAATATTGAACTCACGAACACATTGTGGGGAATAAAGCATGCCCAACACGTTTCAACTTACAAAATACCAATAACTTAAACAAACCAGAATCACCGGATGTGCAGCTACATTGCTCACATAAGGTGAGAGCTTAGGTGAAAATATCAACGAAAGGAAGGCCAAAAAAACACAGACAACACTGGCATGCGAAGCTGTTTGATTGCAGAAACATCTCGCCGCAAATCACTAGTAGAATTCATTCCCGGCGCTGTCTGAAACCATATCCATAGAAGTGTCGTTGGAGCTTGCAGAATTCGTCTCCCTATTTGCCCCTGCTAAGTTTGCTTCTGCATTCCGTCCTCCATTGCCAGCACCTTGAGTGATGTGATAGTTCTGGAGACTCCTGCGCACTGGGCTTGATAAGGCATTAGAGAATATTGTATTCTTTGACTGGTCAGTGATGCTGGGTCTAGGAGCAAACCCAGCTGCTGATTGCCCATACAAACCAGTTCCAGGTGGGACAACTGAATTGGTGAATGGATTTGCAATCTGAGGATGCTGATGTACTCTTGGGGAGACATGTGCATCAGTACCTCCATAGTCTATCTCATGCTGCAAAAGAAACAAGAGTATGTGAACATTATGATTGCTTCACAAATTTCATGAGCGCAAGAAATCTTTACTACCCAATGCAACAGGCATAGTGGTAACTAGGTCCATCTGTAGTTCTTTCTAAAGGCATACTACTTCATAGCAATTACCAAACACAGCTTAAGACCCCACTCTAGACACCCTTGTCACGACAATCCATTGCCGAACGAGCTCCTGTATGGTATGATGTGTATCTTGTATGTTCGGAAAACCTAGTCCTCATGGAGGACTGTTTGGATGTGGTAGCTCCTGTACAGTATGAGGTGTATCTTGTATGTTTGGAAAACCTAGTCCTCGTCATGACAATCCATCGCTGAATGTAGCTCCTGAACATATAGGAATATCAGGAAAAAAAAAGAAACAGATATGGAACTAAAGGCCTGTTTGGATGTTGTGGCTTTAGAAAACTATGGTATCAAGAAACAGTAGTTTTATGAGCCAAAGACTTGCAAAACCGTGATTTAGAAAAAAAGGTCTAAACTGGAGTTCCTAAAACTCATAGTATGGTTTTGACAAATGTTTGTTGCATCCAAACACACAGAAGTTTGGCAACTCCCTCCCATCCAAACAGGGCCTAAACAGCTACAAAAGCAGATGCATAGGTAAGATTTTGCTTATGTAAATCAAATCAAGTGTGTCTTCTCCACAAAAAGTAAGGCAACTCATAGTCAAAACATGTTCAAGCAAAGTGCAATAGTCTAGGAAGTTTCAAGGTCGGACCTGGATATGAGACATTATTTCAGCTACAGTGAGCCTTGCCTCTTCATCGTGCTTCCTCAAGATCCATTGGTAGAGCTTTTCCTGCAACATTAAGCTTGAATTTAGCAAAGACATTTCTTTACTCATACTTAGCAATATAAACTCTGAAGCATAAGAACTCCAAGAAAGATAAATGCTCATGTATGCTGTTTTGAAGCACAGAAATTAATTGTGATAGTAAATCCTGTATGTTTGTCCATAAACTTTTACCTGTAGATATACCTATTATTATTTTTTTTCTCTGAAGACTAATAGAATAAACCTTCATACTAAACTACTTCAAGTCGTGTTGCAATACAAAATTGCATCCCTTGCGGGCAAACTAAATAGACACCCAAGCACCTTCGGAGACCTACACTGCATAATTTACTTGCCGTGGATTACCTAATGTCTCTCTTGAAAGACTGTTCAACTATGAAGGACAGGTACACCGACAGTGTGGCAGTATATACACAATAAACACAGAACTAATATTTGAGACTGTTCCAACCGGCATTTCTTCTTCTATATAAGCTTGTGCGTGCAGAATCCTACACGTCCACTGATGTATGGCTAAATCCAACCTCTATACTTGTTTATCTAAAAGATCGAAGAAGGCAAATCAATCAAATTCACGCGCGGGGGGCAATCGAATTCCCTATGCCCCGACCCCCGGCCGACCAACCGGCGGGCGGGCGGACGGAAGAGAAGAAGCAGGAATGGGGGGCGGTAGAAAGGAGACAGGGGAGGGTGTACGCACTAAGGCGTGGCGCTCGCCGGCCTGGAAGGAGAGCTTCTGCTGGGCCATGGCCTGCGTGTACAGCTGGGAGAGGGAGTTGGCGGCGCCGCAGAAGGTGGAGTAGAGCGTGCGATCGGCCTCGTCCAGCCGCGGCGCGGCGTCCGTCTTCCTCTTCCGGACCATCGCCGCCGCCGCCGCCGATGATGATGAAGCCGCGCGAATCGAGGAGGGGAAGAGACTAGAAAGGGTTTGTGGATTGCTTGCGCTTCCAATTGAATTTGCTTCCCCCTTTTTCCCCCTTGTGCTAGTATATCTACTCGAGGCTCCGGTTCGCTTTCGGCTCGGCGGTTCGTGTCGTGGTTTTTTTGGTTCACGCAACGGAGAGAGACGCGAAACGGACCGGGCCGAGCTAATGACACACCTCTGTGTAGGCCTCACTATGGGCCGGGCTGCAGCCGACAACATACCAGATTTATTGTGGTCCTTCAACAGCAGAAGACCGGCCCTGAAATAGTGAAATTTACTACTACTGCTCGGAAAATCGGGCCATGGTTGTTTTCTAAACTTGCTTTGCTGTGTGTGCCTCTCTCTCTTCTCTCCGCCCAACGACGCCGCGATCCAGATCCAGGCATCCAGGCCATCCTTCCGCCGCCGCGGACTGCGCCTCTGTTCCTTCTCCAGCTGTCGGGCGTCCCCGTCGTTCTCGATCATCCCCTGGACTGGATCGGAACGGAGATCCTCCAGCCGGACCTGCGGTGATCCCTTCCTTTTCTCGGTAGGCGGCCTCCTTGAACGGATTCCTCGTTTTCTGTAATGCAGATTCTTGAGTCCTCAAATCCGAAGCTTCTACGCGGTGGATATGATGGATCGTTTCCTTTGCAGGATAGTGTAGTGAGCTAGCCAATGGAGAGGTAATTCGTCAGGCTGTTATCAAGTTCCTGCCTGGTTCATGGTGCCTGGATGAGCAGTGGAGATGCTACTGGCCGTGGAAGGAGGAGGGTTCTTCTCGTCTTCAGCTTCAGGGTACAGCCATGGCCTCGCCCTCTTGCTGCTCGGGCGGAAAGCTGAGGAGAAGCCCGTCAAGGTCTCGCCGTGGAACCAGTACCGGCTAGTCGACCGGGAGACGGAGCAGGTGTACCACCTGCCCTCCGCCGCCAAGGACCAGGCGCCTCACCTGCCCTCCGCCGCCAAGGACCAGGCGCCTGGGAAATGTGCTCCCTTCGTCTGCTTCGGATGCACGGCGAATGGCCTCGAGGTGGCGTCTCCTCCCAAAGCGTCCTCCAGCAGTGCGCTCGGTGTCGGTACCTCGCAGGAAGAAGCATCTTGTTCAGCAAACAAGACGTTGACCACTAGTGGTTCCATCGGTGGCAGTGAGAGACGAGGCTGTCTTAAGAGCAACTCCAAAAGGGATTCTTTGGAGCACCGTATAGTGGTCAGCGAGGGTGAAGAACCACGCGAGTCTATGGAAGAGGTGCAGACCTTGAGATCTAGCGTGGAACGGAGGAAAGTTCAGTGGACAGATACATGTGGAAAGGAGCTTTTTGAGATAAGGGAGTTTGAAACAAGGTATGGTCAAAAATCCTATATTTCCTTGCATGCCATTGTGCCCTGGAAAATATATTGTGTTCGTGGTTATTTAGTCAGAACGTCCTATTGTCAATTATCATACATGAACGAATGCACATTTCTATCTTCTTCTATTAATGAATCCAAATTTCAAAATAAGAGCTGTAAAAGCACAACATCATCTCAAAATTTTTTGGTACTTTTATACCATCTACTAGTAACCATCTTGTGAGGTAATTGATCTTCAAATTTTTCAAGTAACAAAGATACCACAAAGTTCGAGTGTTCCGTCTTAATGAGTAGTCTCCACCTAAAAGGCTAAAACTTAACGCCTTCTTCCTTGGATCCAAATCTCCTCTAAAGCCCTATGTACATACTTTTAAAAGTAAAGACAATTCCACATACTAAAATTTAACATATGCTTATCAAATGTTCTATATTGTGAACATGTTAAAGTGCATGGGGTTTACACTAGGGCCCTGTTTAGTTCCACTTCGTTTTGCCAAATTTTTCAAGATTCCCCGTCACATCGAATCTTTAGACGCATGCATGAAGCATTAAATATAAATAAAAAATAAAACTAATTACACAGTTTAGACGAAATCCACGAGACGAATCTTTTAAGCCTAATTAGACTATGATTGGACACTAATTGTCAAATAACAACGAAAATGCTACAGTGCTCATTTTGCAAAAAATTTTGCATCTAAACTGGGCCTAGTTTATAGCTCATTGAAGAAGCAGTGCACCTGCACCATTAAATGATGCAAATATGTGTGTAGTCTGGCTTGGTGCTGAATCCTCGTTACTACTAAGGTCCTGTAGAGCTTCTGGCGGCTCTAGCTCCAGCTCTTCCGTGCACTATAGCGACGAGCCATTTTCATCTCTCCTCTCAAAATGAATTAGGAGCCAGTGAAGCCACTATGTTTAGCTTCACCGGCTCCGGCTCCTCCGTGCACTATAGCAAGGAGCTGAAGCCATTTGGAGCCGTGCCAAACGGGGCCTAAATGTTAAGAGTATGAAGAATAGTTGTATTTTTGTTTGATTTGCATTCATTACGTTGTAAGAGGAGCATTTCCAGCAATACTACCCAAAACAAACTACCTACTTGTCTGTTTGGGTAGCCACCCATTTTGATAGTACCCATATTTTGTTGTTGTCTCCAGCAATACTACCTAAAACAGGCCACCCAAACTCATCCTCTCTCGTGTTCTTCTTGTTATAGACGAACTCATGCGCCGGCGCCAGAGCAGAGATGGAGCTGGAGTTCTTGTGTTCTACTAGTGCTTTGTTACACATGTATACTATATTCTGATTGCTGCTTTTTGTATCTTGGCAGCGACGAGGGCCTGTCAGATGATGATGCAGAAAATGAAGGTTTCCGGAAATGTGAGTGTGTGATTCAGTAGATTTCATGTCTGCACAACAAGCCTGACAGAACATCTCCTCATGGTAAGCCTATGTCCTGCTGGGAAGGATATGCCACACCAGTGACTTCTTTGCAACTGAAATGATCAATGACAGTCGAAACAAAGCAAACAGTGATGAGTCGATTATTGTGCTAGATTATTTGTTGGTTCAATGCTTAACTAGTCTGCTCGGCAGGGTTATAGTTTCGATGCCCACCTGTACAATATCAAGATCTCCTTTCTTTCTTTTGTCATATTTTGTTTTTCTGGTTTTTCATTGTGTTTTCACACCCGCTGTACCATATGAGGCTGCCCTGTTACTTCTGCCTGGGATGTTGGATCCCTGACTTCATGCTGTTCCCTTTTGTTCTGCTCCTGACGTGTTGAGTGATGACCTGTTGACATTTTCGTCCAAATTGGTAAAATTCATTCTTTGTTGCATAAGAGTGACATATAAGGGCCATTTGATTGTTTAACTCTCAGGTGTACTGTGTTTTGATGTGGATTTGTCTTTTTGCCCCGATAATGTCTCTGAGACATTGCTTTTCCATGGTTCAGTAATGTCTTCTCTGAGAAAATGTACTACTATATTGGTTGCTAAATTAGTACAATATAGATCAATTCTGAATCTTATACCTTTGACAAGTTTTAATACTATAATGTAGTAGCAAACATGTCCAGTGTGTTGTAAAGGAATGCACAATTTGTTATGTGGTCACTTGAATGACTTGAGGCTTAGAGAGTTATGCAATAATCATATTATTTTTTCAATATGTCCTGAGATCGGACTCCATACCTAGTCATCTGTTCCAATGCACTCCATACTATGGCTACATACATGTTTTTCTAACTTGTATGGGCATGAATTCTAAGTTCGGGTCATGGACAGGACACAAAGATGCGAAGGTATGTGGAAAATAAAGAAAAAACGGTGATGTTCTAACTTATAGGATGTTTCTTAAACCTAGACCTAAGGGTTACATCCATTTTGGGATGTTTCTTAAACCTAGACCTTTCTAAATTCGTTCCTGCAAGAAGCTAAACCCAAGACCTAAGGCTATACTAAACCTCCTGTGACCACTAGGTTGCTAGTATCTTAGGCAAAGTGTCAACTACAAGTTTACAAATCACGTCGAGCTATACAATTTTCATATAGAATTTGTTTTCCGGCTTGATTTGAAAAGGTTATGATTTTTTAAAACATGAGAGACCACCTAACATATGGTCCCAGTGCCATATCAGCAAAACAACCTAGAAACCACTTTGAAATGGACAAGGAGGGTATCTTATCTGCTTTTGAAAGTTAGACGGTGTATATGTTGTCTGATATTAGTCTCGGAGTGCTTTTCAAATTCAGCAACACATTCAAGAATAAAATAGACTTTGAAATGGTCGAGGATAGTATTTATCTGGTTTTGAAAATCATAAGGTGTGTATGTTGTACGATATTGAAGTTTAATAGTAATTTTCAAATTCAGTGACACGTCCAAGGAATAAAAAAAAACTTAACTCTAATTTTATATATACGTTGCAAATAACATTGTGCCAGTTCTTAGGTAATTTTCTATACAGAATAGATGTTGTGGCTTAGAATAATCGACCAGAATTCATACAAAATGGTGTATTCTTTTCTTTCACGAAAGCAAGGAGCTATGTCATTCACGGATAAAGATTTATACAAATATAGTTGTGTATATTGTCAAACCAATACCAGCTGAATAATCGTATATAGGAAAACTCAATTTGTCAAACAATCGCTGCTTTTTTTTTTATATATTGATAATAATTGTAAAACAAAAGCGGTACTACAAGCAGCCCAAGGGACAGACAGGGACAATCGCAGCAGGTCAGCACCAGAATGTCTGAAGGTGCTGCGCCCATGTTGAGTCCCTGCAAACCTCACAAACTTTCTGTTAGGAGACAACACGCCCGATGTTGAGTTCCTGGGCCCTCTGTTCACACGCTCTTATCCACAGCGAGAGCGTGGGTGTGTGTCCAGACCTTCTCCACGCGTTCCTTCCCCTCGTCTCCTCCCTGTTCTGTTCATACCCTCCCAACTCCCAAGAAACAAGAGAGCCAGGCCAGCGCTTGCTGCAAAGCTCAAGCGCCGCAGCAATGTCTCTGGCCCCGTCCATCCCTTCTATCAAGGTGAAGGTGGGGGCCGTCTCGGTCGCACCCCCGCACCGCGCATGCCGGTCCTTCGCGGTGATCAGGAGCTCCAAGGCGGAGGGCCCCATTCGGAGACCTGCGGCGCCTCCGCTGTCGCCACCACCACCGATGCCACCAAAGACGCCGGCTCTGTCCACTCCCACCCTGTCGCAGCCTCCGACGCCCGTGAAGCCCGCTGCTCCACCCACGTCGCCGCAGCCGACACCACCGTCTCCTGAGCCGAAGCCAGCTGAGGCCACAGCCCCGGCGGCAGCGCTGCAGAGGCCGGTGGCTGGGGCTGTGACGCTGGAGTACCAGAGGAAGGTGGCCAAGGACCTGCAGGAGTACTTCAAGAAGAAGAAGCTGGAGGAGGCCGACCAGGGCCCGTTCTTTGGGTTCTTGCCCAAGAATGAGATTTCCAACGGAAGGTACGCTTGCCCCTGCAAGATGCTATCAAATTTGTGAACCAGAAGTTCTACAAAAAAAAAAAAAAAAAGTGAACCAGAAAGCTTTTTGAACTATCCAATATGGTTGGTGAGATTTTTCCTGGTACCTTCAAATATTTGAAGGTTTTTGAGTCAGGGACATTTCTTGACCTAATAAACTAAACTGCAAATTGATCTAGCCTGAGCTTTACAGAGAGCATGCTCCTTAGCAATCAATATATCGATCAAACATCAGACTTGAGATTGATTAATCAGTTGAGAACTGACATGTTTCCAATCCATTTGGAACAAGGCCTAGTGAAGTTACCAAAAACTATCATGTCCCTTTCATGCTACTCAATTTACTCGTGTAAGGTTCTAAGTAAATATGAGTCTACAATAAGCATGCTAAAAAAATGCAAAATGGGTAGATGTAAAGATTCACCACATTGTTGAATAACCAGATAGCTTGTCTCTATGCGCTAATTCACCTTGCTATAAATCTTGCAGGTGGGCCATGTTTGGATTTGCAGTAGGGATGCTAACAGAGTACGCAACAGGCTCGGATTTTGTTCAGCAAATGAAGATCCTTCTCTCCAATTTTGGAATTGTGGACTTGGATTAATGGCGGACTTGGTGTTTTCGTTATGTATAAGTCTTTTAAGTGTAATGTACTTACTTGATATGGCATATAGAAAATTTTATCTTGCACGTTGTTTAACTTGGTTTCATTTGTGCTGTCCTGTTTGGATACACAATAGTATCAATTTCCAGTTTTCTTCTATTAGCTACCTGGATTACACGAGAGGACAACACTGTAGGATTTACTGAGTTACAGTGTGGGCAAAAAGGTTTATCTCTAATACTAATGTACAATTACAAGTTGCCAAATGCCAATAATAGTATATGCTTTCAGACAAATAACAGCGTATGTAGATTGGCATTGCTACATTATGATGTGAATATGCCATTGTTCTATCCTGGTTCATCTAGCATTAAGCAATAGGATCACAAGTCATCAAAAGGAGATGCTTTAATTGGAACACTAAAAAAGGTGCAGTTTCAAAAGGTAACACCCTCCACGCAGAAGTTATGCATGATGGCATTAATCAGCATTGCGGTGCAGAGATGGAGAATTACATGAAAAGTGATTGATTTGATAAAGTTCTTCATCAAGCTCTGCAATTGCTTTTTCCTCCTGTCATTGCACAAAGAATATTGATGTTAAAAGTGAAACATAGGAAACTACGTTGTCGACATAAAGTTATTCCAAATAACCAAAAGATGGAATGTTTTATTTCAGACATTTACTAAAACATGATAACATGAGCCAAACGCTTCAAAATTTCAAGCATCTGGTCAACAGAGACACCAGCATGTCTACACTGTAGACAGCACATGAAATAATTACTACTAGTGGCCTAGAACTAGATCCAACCTTCATGGACCGCATCTCTTCCAAAGCAGCATGAATGTCCATATCCTGCTTTGAATACATTGCTCTATTTTCCATCTCTTTCATTGCATCACCCTCCTCAGCATCCCTTTTCCTCTTTTCTGTCTGCTGCCTGAATAAAAGAATATTCATCATGGTGATAAAATTGAAGATTATATGCATGGAATCGAATTTGTCCTTCGAATAAGCCCCAAAATCACTTACCTCGTCCTGTTCACGCCAAGGTTCAAAATTGCGACTAGCCCCCGATTCCACTGTGCACTTGAAGTAAAACCTAAATATTTGTATTCCCAAGTATGCCTGTGTCCAAATTTAGGGAACAGCATTAGCATGGGTTAGCATACAATCAGTAATCAAAACACACACTAGTTGATACGGATATGAATTTCCACAGTTCCAAGATAGGCAACCAAATAAAACATTATGCCAGACCATAAAATGATGAAAAATAAATTCAAACCATGGTTGTAAATTCAAAAGCACAAAGATGCCTAGCTAAATGAAGAGATGCAAGCGCTAAACACAAAGAACTGATGTCTCCATCAACAATGCACAACCTAGAAGAGCAGGCAGAGCACATGTAGAGATAAGGAGTGAACATGAACACATATCATGCATGCAAAGTGGTGGCTCAGGAATAATATTAATACATTCTGGACTTATTCATGTAGTCATGACGAACAAAAGTTGCTAGGTTGGGGCGTTGGGCAGCCCATGTACTGTCATGAAAACATAACACCTATAAATCAGCAAGCCAAATTATTAAATTCAATTTTAATGTTAGATGCTTCGAGTATTTGACAGATGCAATGATTTCTTTACAAATTCCACTTCCACGGGATAAGGGAAAATGGAATAATAGTTGCCAGGAGTTAGTTATTGAATGGTAAATTCATGTCTGAAGAGAAACTCTAACAGTAATTTTGTTTGAATATATATATTTGACTTAAATAAGAGAAAGGTAAGAAACTTGTACCTAGCATCTGGCAATGTGGTATGACCTGAAAGGTTAGGAACTGGTACTGAACCAACCTTTCAAATCAGTTACCAATAATCTCCACAAGAACACTTCCCATCTTTGAAATGATGAAATCGGATTGAATCCCTTAAAATGATTTGCCGGCTAATCATCTGAGAAATGTATCTAAAGGCTATGTGACAATCTCCGCAAACCCGAAGGTTCTTCATTATTCTTATTGGGCCACTTGAGGAACGAGTCAGAACAAAGGCAACGGCTAGCTTCTCACTGTGATAGCTCAACAGCTCCTCTTTGTTTTCTTCTTCAAGATCATACAAGGCATACTCTGTCAGGGGAACATAACCGGCATTTCTTATATTCTGTATCAAAAAATTCAGCTTTTCGTATATTTCTTTGGTGTTTGGATGTGATCTGTCGCCAGCGATGAAAGTATGAACTCCATCATTTAGGGTTACCCAACTGCGACCAGCCTCCTTTTTCACTGTTGCTTGCCTCATTGCAGCTCGGGCTTTGGCTGTATCTTCCCACATTCCTGTAGCTGCATGAAAGTTAGATGCCAGAACATAGTTTACAGGATTTTGAGGCTCTATTTCCAAAAGCACCCTTGAAGCTTCTCTCCCCAGATCAATCTTAGACCCGTCTTTTGACTGTCGGCAAGCAACTAAAACAGTCCTCCATATGAGAGCGTTAGGTTTCATTGGCATTCTTTGTATGTACTCCTTTATCTTGTCAATCTTACCAGCTCGACCGAGAAGGTCTATGACACAGGAATAATGTTCAATCTGAGGTAGTATACCATGATCCGGCATCATTTCAAAGTATTCTAAACCTCTTTCCACCAATCCAGCATGACTGCATGCAGATAGGACGCTGACAAAAGTGACATGGTCTGGACTTTCTCTGCTGCGCAGCATTTCCTCAAATATCTCAAGGGCTTTCCTTCCAAGACCATGTCTTGCATAACCAGAAATCATAGAATTCCATGAAAATTCATTTCTCTGAGTCATGGAATTGAAAAGCTTAGAGGCATAATCCACCCTACCACACTTGGAGTACATATCAACAAGAGCACTCTCAACCACGACATCTGATTCCAAGTGCGACCTAATACCAAAAGCGTGCATCTCCATTCCACGCTCCAATGCTGCCACAGAAGCACACGCATTTAGTATAATGGAGAAAGTGCAACAATCCATTATTTGGCCACTGTGTAGCATAAGCCATACACAATCCATAGCCTCCTGTAGATGGCCATTGTAGATGTAACCTGAAATCATAGAATTCCAGGAGACGGCATCCCTTCTGCCAGACATGTTAGAAAACAGATGCTCGCAGGAATCCATATCTCCTGATTTTGCATAGCATGATATGAGTGCATTATCTACCACATTGTCATCCATAACTCCATGCTTCAGCACTGCAGCATGAACCTGCTTCCCCAATTCAAGAACGGACAATGGAGATAAAGCAGCAAGTAAATTTACAAATGTTACTTTATTTGGGATCAAACCACCCCTCATCATATTGTTGAAAACTTCGACAGTTTCAGAAATAGGTGCTTGTGAACTGGCCATGATACCCATCATAGAGTTCCAAGAAACTTCATCATGTTCCGCCATAGAGTTGAAAACCTTCCAGTAATCTGACATAGCTCCACATTCTCCATACATTTTAACCAGTACATTTGAAACAGAAGTATCTAAATCTAGACCCCACTTGACAGCATCACAATGCACTTGCTGACCTGCAGTTAAAAGTTTCAAACCTGCGCATGAACTCAAGCAACTGATTACTGCAAAGTTTGATGGGCTTATGCAACTTTGTCTCATAAGACAGTAATGCATAACTGCTTCTTCACAGTTGCCATTCTGATCAAGAGCTGAGATGATGGTGTTCCAGGAAATCCTATCCGTTGCTTCCATTAGCTGAAAAATTTTAGAGGCACTATCGATGGCACCACATTTGGCATACATATTAACCAGTCCATTACTAACAGCAATTTTCAGATCAGTAAGCCCAGTTCTAAGCATATGCCCATGGACTTCCTTACCTTTCCTCAGCCCTTCTTCAGATATAGAATATTCAGCTATGGCACTGAGCAACACAACATATGTATCTGCGTTAACAACAACAGTATTCCTTGTCCCCACGAAAATCTTTACTGCTTCTTCACTGCAGTGTTGCCTGACCAACCCAACTATCAAACCATTTAAGGTAACTGCATTCTTCTCTTTCAAACTGAGAAAGATGTCCTTAGCTTCATCAATCAAGCCATGTCTCGCAAAAGCGCTAACCAGAGCACTACCCACGTAGAGGTCACTAGAACAGCCAGATTTGAGCACCCTCACGAATACTTGGTCAAGCACAGCCGAGCTGCCTGATGACAGAGATGTGGCAGTGATCAAACTGCCAAATGTATGCTCTGTCGGGCGCAGCTGAATCCTGGAATCATCTCGCTGCATATCCATGAACAGAGTGAATGTTGAAACCACATCACCTTTCTTAGCATAAACAGACATTAATGCGTTCCATGTGATCAAGTCCCTGATCGGCGTGCCATCAAACACCCGCTGCGCTAGGATCGGCGGACCAACAGTGCAGCTACCATACATTGAGATCAGGGCATTGCACACAGTGGTGTTTGACGCATATTCCGTCTTTGACAGCAGCCCATGGACCTGGATTGCGAAGCCCAGACGGTTGGGTCCTCCATCCTGGCATGCCCGGAGCAGCGTCCCGAAGGTGAAGGACGTGGGCCTGCACCCGGGCTCCACCTCCCGCAGCATGGCGCGGAACACCCGGAAGGCCTCTTCGGCGATGCCCTGCAGCACGTACCCGGAGAGGAGGCAGGTCCAGGAGACGGCGTTCCGCTCGGGCATTTCGTCGAACACCAGGCTCGCGGCAGCCAGGCGCGCGCCCTTGGCGTAGGAGTTGACGAGATGGTTGGATAAGAAGAGGTCATGATTGAGCCCCCGCTTGATGAGCTCGACGTGGAGGTTTTCCGGAGAGTTACCGTCGCCGCGGCGGCGGAGCAGGAGGACGAGATCGGCGTGAGGGCGCGGCGGTGGAGGTGAGGGCGGCGAGCGAGGAGGCGGGAGGCGGTGAGCGAGGAGGTCGCGGAGTGGGACGGGGGGAGGGAGGCCTCTAGGTGGCAGTGGGGAAACGGAGGCGGCGGCTGAAGAGGAAGAGGCGGAGCGGAGAGTGAGGTGAGGTAACGGCGGGAGCTTCCGGGGGTGCATGGGTGTTGAGAAGGAAGAGGTTACCGGTATCGCACTCGCACTATTACCGAAATACGTGAAACGGTGAAGCTGAAAGCTCGCTTTGATATAATTTTTTTTTGGAACATCCGATTTTGCAAGGTATCTCCCTCCCAACCAACCGATCCAACAGCTATGTCCAAATTGGTATTTATTTGGAGTGCGAGTAGTTATTAATTAAGATTAAAAAACAGAAATGCTACGGTGAGGACGTCTATTCATGCGGACGCACCAGTTCGCGGGCTGCAACACCAGCCTAATGGCTCAATAGTTGTAGTCTCTCGTCCGCTCACCCCTAATCGTAGCATGTTGTCTCCATTCTCTGGAAAAAATCACCGTAACTCGAGCGGACGCGCTCCACCGCTCCGCCTCGGTATTCTCCACGGCGGCTGGGGTCCCGAGGGCCAACATCTCCAACGTGCCTAAGCGTGGCCGCCCACCTTCCTCCCTCTCCATCGCACCTCTCGAATGCCTGCCTTCCTCCCTCTCCACTGCGCCTCCGCCCCGCCGCGGCCCTCTCCCGCTCGTCGGTCGCCTCCCGCTTCAAATGTTTCACAAGCCCGTGTCTTCTTTTTAGACATATTGCAAACCTATGTTTCAAATATTTTAATTGTTTCATATGTATGTTTCAAATGTTTCATACGAATATTGCAAAAGTAGATCAAGATGTTGGGATATACTTCACACTTATGTTTTAAATGTTTCATACGTATGTTGCGAGCGTCTGTTACCAATGTTTCATTTATTTTTCAGACGTATATTGCAAGTGCGTTTATCTGAATGTTGTATATGTTTCACACAGATGTTGCATATGTTTGCAAGTGTTTTAACTGGACGTTGCGTAATATTTGAATGATTTTCAAGTGTTTTCAAGTGTTTTTATAAGTGTTTCAGACGCATGTTTCAAATATTTCATCTGTCTTCTTTTTGTATGTTGCAAGTGTTGCATCTGAATGTTTCAAAAGTAGATAGGGGTGTCGCACATGTGATGCGTGTGAGAAGTGGGAGGGGGCGCGAGCGGTCCCCACGCTTGGTCTGGCGGCACGGGCGACGTCCAGGGCGGCACGGAGCCGCTGCTGGGGCGCTCGCTTGCAAGTCTGGCGCTGCTGGGGGCTCGCTCGCTTGCTGCGCAGGCGCTATCTGACACAAGCGCCCCTGATCAGACGTACGAACGCTAGGAAGTCCGTTAACAAAAGATTGTAAGTAGTTTGTTTTTTTTCAAATTACATTACGTTTTATGTGAGTTACACGTAGCCTCGTAAATATTCTACTACATCCGTCCCTAAATAACTGTCATTTTTGTTTTTCATGTCATAAGTTTAATTAGATTTGTAGAAAAAATATACAATATTTATATATCCAAATAAATTTACTATAAAAATAAATTTAACGATTTATCTAATGATATAATTATGTATCATAAATATTAATATTTTTTATATAAAATTATATCAAAGTTATTTCTCGGGAAATGAAAACGACGGTTATTTAGGGATGGATGGAGTATGACTATGCAGCCTGTTCGGTTGGCTGGTTCGTTTCGTTGCTGGTTCATGAAGAAGTAGTGCTGGCTGGTTTGTGTGAGAGAAAAATACTGTTCCGGATAAAAATTTACGATCGTTTACGATAAGCCACAGCCAAACGAACAGGCTGATGAGCACGTAGGATCATAGAAACTAGCAGCCTGTTCGGTTGGCTGGTTCGTTTCGTTGCTGGTTCGTGAAGAAGTACTGTTGGCTGGTTTGTGTGAGAGAAAAATACTGTTTCGGTTAGAAATTTACGATCAATTACGATAAGCCACAGCTAAACGAACAGGCTTTTGATTAAGTATCTTGAGCTTAACAGAATTATCGTGGGCTGTATGGACGGTATGACGAAGGATGTGTGTAGCTTACGTCTCACTTGAGGATGAACCATAAGAAACAAACGATAGAAATGTTCCTTGCTTTAGAGATAGTAGAGATTACCATGCGACTGGAAGGCTCAATGCTAACGAATACACAGGTTGGATTTAGGATGGATGATGGAGCTAGTGGTGACTGGTGACCTCAGCAAATAAACAACCGTTCGTCGCTCGTGAGAAACTGAAGGATGAGGAAGGTTGGATGCGGCATGCAGAGGGTCGAAGGCAAAGTTGGCAACAAGAAAATCCCGCCTTTCCTAACGGGAAATTGTTTCTTTTATCTGAGTCAAACCCACCCTTATATTCGTGTGGGACCCATCTTAGGGTTAGTGGACGCTGTGTACATTCTTAAAGATGGCAACGGAGCCCCGATACCCGATACCCGACGTGTATTTGTTTCATTAGGGGACGGGGATGGGATCATATCTTTACCCGCGGGCATCTAAATGGGCAAGAAGCCATCCCCGATGGGTATAACGGGTACGGGAACGTTCCCTGTTTACCCGTTGGGGAACCCGACTATTTGAGCTGTCATACGAGTATTAGGCTCAAAGAAGTTCAACATAGGTATTTTGGCCAAAATCTGAACAATCATATATATAGTTTATGTGTTCTAGGAACCCTAGTTCAATTTTTCCTCACAATCTCCGCCAGCAGCACAAGCACGCCTGCCTTACGAGCGCTCGTGCCCCTCGCTTCCTCAGTTCGGTCTCTCTGCCACCTTTGCTCGTCCTCCTCGCAACCTCGCTCCTTCTCCTCGGCATCTCCGAGACTCCGACACTTATACCCGGGTGAAGAAGAAACGTCTCCGATTGCAAAGCTGCGACCCCAAGTGTCCTTGTTTATCGGGTATGCAGTACCCGTCGGGTATCTGTTACCCGACCGATACCCGACGGGTATGAGGATGGGCAAGAATCTATACCCGAGACAGTTAACGGGGACGGGGACGGGATGAATTCTCCGTAGCGGGGAAGTGAACGTTCCGGCGATACCCGATGGGTACATCCCCGTTGCCATCTTTATACATTCTAGATGCCCTATGCCTTCCATTTTCTTAAAGACTTCTTAAAGACAAAGGAACAGGAAATATTTTTATGTTCTCTCAGCATTCGCCCCTGACTGGTTCTCTTGCACAAGCTACGTTAACCTTAGAACAGATAAACATAAGCACCTGCGGCATCTCCAATAGCATGGATATGTTTGGTAGAGCTCTACCAACTTCCACAAAGCTGTTTCAGCTTCTCCAGCCAAATGGGTCCGGATGAAACAACTTTTCTTTAAAAGTTGTTTTTCAGCTCCTCTCCTATGTACGGTTCTCTAGGTGAAGCTGAGTGCAACTGAAAATACTAGCTTCCCTTAGTTCTTACCGCTACCTTCCCTAAAAAGCTGTTTTACCAAACCTTATGAAAATAGATTCAACTCTACCGGTAAAGTTGTTTTTAGAGCCAAAGACATCAAAAGCTGATTTACTGGTGAAGCTGAGTTATACCAAACAGGTGCCATATGTACACTATTAGCCTAGGATCTAATATAGAAACACCTCATATTCAAAAGAACACAATGTATAAGAACCGTTGTCATTATTGAAATGGCCTCACTACTACTCCCTCTGCTCTAAATTATAAGAAGTTTTGTTTTTTTAAAACATTACTTTTACTATGTATCTAGATATAGTGTATATATAAGTACACAGAAAAAGAATATGAATCTAAAAAGGTCGAAACGTCTTATAATTTGAAATGGAAGGAATAGGTAAAAATAATCCATTTCAACTATCTTTCTCCGTGGGCAGGGTTACTCTAAAGGTAAAAAACAGAGAGAGCTTAGTATTACGCAAAAAGACTCGCCACCCCCTAGTCCTGTTGTCGCTCCTCCTTGCGGTCGTCGTGGTCCCCCTATTCCTTTCTATGCGGCGATCATGCCGACGGTAAGAGGATTGAGGAGCTCCATCTGTCGTCCAAGTCTAATAGTTTTCTAGGGTTTTAGATTAGATTAAATAAATCTATTCAATGTGTTGTCGGTGAAAGCATCTAGGCCCCTAGTTAGGTTTCGGTGATTAATGACAATATGTGATTACTGTGATTAACATGTGTTTTGCAGAGGCAATTAAGTTAGGTCATGGTAATGGAGATCGATTGGGCTATCATGGTGGTCATGCCCCTACGATGGAAATCGTTTCGGTTTTCAAAGGATGGACGACAAGGTTAAGGATGAACTAGTTCTAAGTGTCGATTGAAGTTGAAGGGGCACTTAGAGTAGTTTAGGACTTTGTTTTTCCTTTGGCTATACTATTAAGGAGGGTATGAACGGGTAGCTTGACCTAGGTGAGTCTAGTGAGTTAGGTGTGGTGCACACTTATCAAATCTAGCACTAGGTAGCTCCTAAAAAACATTTAGATCTATTGGAACAAACTTCATTTACATATGATTGCGAGTTGAAAGTGAATGGAGGGTCAAATGCTGACCGGACGCTGGCTCCGGTGTGACTGGATGCTGGTGTAGAGTCCGATCAGTTCATTTGATCAAGGTGAAGTCATCTGAAAGTGATCGGACGCTGAGAGGTGAGTGACCGGACGTTGGGTCCCAGCGTCCGGTCGACTCTAGTAAGGTCCCAAAGAGGGAGAATCCTGATCGGACATGTCCGGTCAGTGCTGACCGGACGCTGGTCAGGTTCTAGCTACTGATCGGACGCTGAGCAGCAAAGTGACCGAACGCTAGGGGTCTAGAGTCCGGTCAACATCAGTAAGGTTCCAGATAGGGAAAATTGTGACCGGACGCTGTCCAGCGTCCGATCACAACTTATGTAACACCCCAGGTGTTTGTCACCAGTTAAGCAATGGGTTTGAGCACAAACATAACATGTTAAGTGGTGATGATGGTGTCAAGATCACATCTACAAGAGTGAGCTCCAACTTAAACTTGGGCAACACACCTTTGCTTGCATATTGGCCCTTTTCAGATATACACCTAAGTAATGTTGAAGGTGTTTCTTTCATGTGCCTCACATCAATTTCCACCCACCTAGATGATTGGAAAAGTTTCGTGAAGTTTGGAATTGAGAAGTTACATGAAATGACAAG